GAAGCAGAAAGAAGCTGGTGATGGGGCTGAGAAGGCATCCACATACTTGTCATCAAGGGGTAATATTGCTACTTATGTTCATTATGACAAGTACTTCTGATACACATGCTCTTGTCTTTTTTTTCATCATAAGATTACTGTAATGGATAGTAGATTGGGGTGCATCTCAACATGTGACAAGTACTGCTAGAGCGTTCTCTTCTTACACTCACATAACAATTCTGGATAATATTGAGACTGTTGATGATACAACACAACCTGTAGTGGGTAAGGGTATAGTGAGGTGTATCAATTTTATGATTTTGTCCAATGTTTTGCACGCTACTTTTCTAGTGTACCTTTATCCATTAGTGTCATTCTCCAACTAAAATATATTGTTTTTTTTATATTCCTAAAGTGATTTTTTAAGATAAAGGGATGGGTCAGATACTTGGGCTTGAAACGTGACATAATGGGCTTTAGTACTCGGATAGAGGGGATGAATCAACTTTGACATCAATGGTAGTGCTGTAGTAAGGGGGATCTGGGTGGAGTGTATATGATGTGTTAATGCTACATCACAGACACATGTCACACTTTTATTTTACATGCCGTTTGTATACGTTTTTATATGATAGGACAAATAAATAAGAACTTGTATGTGATGTTTGTGAGTTTAACAAGTTTACTATGAGCTCTTATATCATTTTTTGAAATAAGAGTTCTTTTGTTTTTGATTTGTTACATTATGATATTTGGAGATCTTATTCTACGAGTTTAATGAATGATTATCGATATTTTGTGACTTTTATTGATTATTTTTCTCTTGTTACTTGGTTGTATCTGATGAAAAATAAGGGCGATGTGTTTGTTTGCTTTAAAGATTTACACAAGGCAACCTAGGCTTAATTTGGTGCACTAGTGAAGGTATTGAGGTCTGATAATGGAAGAGTCTACTAACATGACATTTGGGGAACACTTGTCAGTCTAAAGGATACAACATCAAATCACATGTTCATACACTCCAACAAAATGAAGCAACAGAAAGAAAAAATAGACACCTTTTTGAGATAGTTCGAAGCATGATGATCTCGATGAATGTCTCAAAACATTTGTAGGGGCAAATAGTTTTGACAGCGGCTCAATTAAACAATAGAACGCTCTCAAGTATGTTGGATTAAAAATCGTCTTGTCAGATGTTTAAATGAAATAATTGTAGGATTCTCCCATTGACGGTATTTGATTGTATATGTTTTGTGAAGGACAACAACCATCTGTGAAAAAGCTGAATCCCAGAGCTATGAAGTGTGTTTTTATGAGTTATTCTGCTACCCATAAAGGATTTGTTTGTTGGAGTCCGATAGAAAAGAGAATTTTTGTGAGCATAAAAGTGTACTTTAGAGAATTCAAACCGTCCTACACCCTGGAGGTGACCCCACCCTTTGTTGCCTCGCCAGATTCTAGAGTTATGAGATTAGAGGTGAAGAGTAGTGATGTGAGAGTTTGGTGCATGTTTGAATAATGCCTTGTCCCTTTGTGTGTAAAGGATCAACCGAGGAAGAGCCGAAAAATGAGGCAAATAAGCCTGAAGGTGGAGGGATTCAAGCTCAATGGGAGCTGAGAGTGCATGCATGGAGGAGAAGGCAGAATGAGGGAACAGTGTCTGCAGTGTCACTCGTGCCATCGAGTTCCTTGTCTTGGTCTAGCTTGACACCTAAGACATTTACACCATCCAACTCATAATCTGATCACTCAAGTGATATGATTCCTCTCCTTTCTCCTCCCACTCCAATGACTATAAGGAGAGTGTTTGTTAGCACCGCGGGCCATTTTCCTGATTATTATTCAGCGGATTGTTTTGGTTTCTCACATGGCATTGCTCGGTTTATCTCATACTAACATATCACCATTATGCAGAGCATTCATTGCATTTTGGACACTGTCTCTATAGCCAATGGTAGATGGCTAAGGAGGGTTCAAAGTGGAAGGCTGTCATGCTGGAGGAATTTGGCGCTCTCAATAAGAACAAACTGTGGGAGCTTGCGTTGCTACTGATAGGGAAAAAGACAGTCAGGAGCAAATGGATCTTCACAGTGAAACAGACCTCAAAGAGAAAAAAATATCGCTACAAAGCATAGTTAGTGGAGAAAGGGTATATTTAAACGTATGTCATAAACTATGATAAGACATTTGCACTAGTGACAACGATGAGTACGGTTAAGGCACTCTTCTCTCTCGCTGTGAATGGTGGTTGGAGGTTACACTAACTAGATATGAAGAATGCGTTTCTTCATGAGGATTTGTTGGAGTAGGTGTACATATATATTCCCCTAAGTTTCGACACAAACAAATTAGTGGGCAAGATAAGTAGACCGAGGAAATCATTGTACGACTTGAAACAGTATCCTGGAGCTTCTCAAAAGAATAGAGGTAGGCATGAGCTATTAGCAGATTAATGCTGACCACACAGTGTTCTTTCGATGGCATGGTCGTCACATTACTATACTTGCTGTGTATGTGGATGATGTGATTGTCACTGATTATGACGAAGTACCTGAGACAACTTAGATACTTCTTTGGGAATGAGGTGACTTGTAAGTAGAGCGGATTGTTTTATCTCAGAGGAAGTATGTGTTAGACTTGCTCACAGAAACAGACATATTGGGATGGAAGCCCATCGTTGCACTAATTGATCAGAAGGAAAAGTTAAGCGCAGAGGCAAGAGAGCCAGTTGATCGTGATGATACCAAAGGTTGGTAGGTCGTCTCATTTATCTGAGTCACACTTGTCCTGACATATCATTTACAGTAAGCATGGTGAGTCGCCAAATGCATGAATTAAGAAAGAGCCACATGGATGCAGTGTATCAGATTTTGAGATACCTGAAAACTGCACCAGAGAAGTGGTTGATCTTCAGAAAGAATGAGCATGTAGGCATTAAGGGCTATTGTGACTCTAATTAAGCTAGTTGTGCTGATGACAGTAGGTCTACGTCAGGGTACTGCATGTTCGTAGGCTGTAATTTGGTCACTTGGAAAAGCAAGAAATAGTTGGCAGTAGCGAGATCAACAACAGAGGCAGAATACAGGGTCATGGCTTTAGGAATCGCCATGATGATGTGGCTGAGAGCCTTGTTGGTAGAGCTCAAGGTGGACCAAAGAGCTCAAATGAAGTTGTGGTGCGACAACAAGTAATAATCAACGTTGCCAGTAACCTAGTGCAACACGATAGAAACATGCATGAGGAGATTGATAAGTTTTTCGTCAAAGAAAAACTGAAGAATGGATTACTGGACCTAAGTCATGTAGCCATTAGAGAGCAAGTGGCTGACTGCGTCACCAAAAGACTTAGCTCATTATATTTGTCTAGGTTATTTGACAAAATGAGCTTAGTGGATATCTTTTGCCCATCTTGAGGTGACTGTTGAGATTTGTATCTAGTTTAGGGTCCTGTTTGTAAATAGGAAAGATGGAAGAAATCTAGGGATTTATTTGTAAAGAAAGTTGTTAGGTGCTTTATAAGCCCGTCATTAATGAATAGATGTGGTTTTTCAGAGCAATTATTCTATGTTTTTTTTTTTCAAAATGGACTCTAGCCTATTATATTCATAATTTTTAATTCTTAATTAGGATTATACATGCATGCATCAACATTTAAGTTTTTTTATGAAGTTATATATAATAGAAGTATATGTAATGGAAAGGGTAAAAAAAGAAAAAGATACCAATTAATGAAACCTCAAAAGATGAGTTGTCAGATTTAATAGGCTACTGAACCAAGAAGCATTACATATGTGCTAAGGAGGAGAAAAAAAAAAAGAAAAAATCAACCAAAACTTGAGTTAACGAGTTGTCAAATTCTTTAGGCAAGAAGACTGATATGTAAAAATGACAGTTGCAAGAGAATTTGCTGAACTTCTCATAGCGTTGTTTGGTGGGCATAAAATCTAAATATGACAATTTTGTAAGTTTGAATGTACTTGAAGATGTTCATTAAATGTTACTTGTTAATTAAATAATATTTTATTTCAAAGTTTTATATATTGATTATTTTCTAGATGAATTATCATCATTTAGAAGCATACAAAATATTGTTGATTTAATTCTCGAACCATCAAGGCCTAATCTACCACATTATAAAATGAATCCAACTAAATTTTAAAGTCAAAAGTAAAGTGAATGGTATTTTGAAAAAAAAATAATAATAAAGAGTTTTAGGTTTTTTTTAATCTTTTATCATTACGTGGGAAGACCTAAAACGGTCTATTTTTTTTGGTTCAAATTAGGATTAATGCCTAATCTTTAAAGATTGACAGCACCTCATTTGCTTGCATTTCTTGAATATACATGTCAACTTGCATTAGATTGCTAGCAAATATTGAAAAATTTTCTTAAATGAACAAATTAAAAGAAGTATGACAAATCATTTGATTACATCACTTGAACATGCTTTTCAACTTGCTTTTGATTTGAGTATAATTGAAATTTCTTGCTATTAAGAGTGTTCATATATTAAAAACCTATATTATCATCAAAATTCTCAACTCCAAATACTATATCTACTGCATCTAAGGTTAGTCTCATTACTGCTTGCAAGGATACTACTAGAAAATCTACTGGTACTATTTCTGGATCTTTTTTTTTTTTTTTGTAAAAGCATATTTTTAAGGGTTCTTTACATACATAGCGCCCAAAACATTGCTATTTACAAATCTAGCACTCTATTTAATCCATTTTTCAAATTCTCACTAAAATATCAAAATTCCTTATAAAACCCGAACCCATATTTTCATTTTTTTATTAAATTATCAATGATTTGATTGGGGCATGCTAGATGTTGTAAAGTGCAATGTTTCAGGTGCTATATATGTAATTATCCCTATTCTAAAATGTCATCAAATTTGTTACTATGCAAATAATGTCTGAATAGTAATTTAAATATTGATGTTGGATGCTTGATGTGGAAGTTATGCATCTTTTACCAAAACATAGCTCAGATATTTTTTACTGTGACTTTTGTAGGAATGGTGTCACCAGATAAAACTCCAAATGAAAGAAGTCAATTTCCGCCATGTCCATCTTCTATACCACCAAATGCCATCCCTGACGTGGTTGAGTCTGACCATGAAAAGCGAATTGTGATGGCCAGACCTAGTTTTGGAAGTGAAGGCAGGCATATACAACTTCTGACAAACTACTTCACCGTTAACTTTAACATTCAGGATCAGTTTTTCTACCAATACAATGTATGCTTTGCACTATTCTCTCTTGTATTTCAGTGCTCCTTCTCCCTGGTTTGTGTTTTCACTTTTTCGTACTGCATGCAGGTTTCTATAAAATCTATTGATAATCTTGCAGTGGAAGGAAAGAGTATTGGAAGAAAGGTCATGGACAGGCTATGTCAGACTTGTAGTTCAGAGCTCGGTGGAAAAGAATTTGTATATGATGGAGACAACTTGTTCACTGTTGGGCCTCTTCCTTGTAATAATTATGATTTTATTGTTGTGTTGGAAGAATCATCTAGGTAGATTGTTCCTCTCATTTTCATGGCTGTCATTTATTTTGATTCAGTAGTGAATATGATATCTTTTCCCAACTTCTTCAGTATCTTTTCTTTTCAGAGTTCCTTGTGGATGCCCTGGTGGTGAGAGCCCATCTTCTGACACTCGCAAGAAGCTCTCTAAACACTCACTCATTGTAAAGGAACTTAGTGTTCAGATAAGGTATGCAACCAAGGTCCCATTAAGTGAATTTTCACCGTTTCATGGGGAAACTGAGACAGACCATATACAAGATGCTTTAAGAGTTCTTGACATGATTCTGAGGCAGCAGCAGGCAAGAAGGTCAGTCTTACGATTTGTTCATACCTATCATTTTACCTTTTTCTCATTTACCAACATTTCATTTTGCTAAATGTTATGCCACAGGGGATGCCTGCTTGTAAGGCAATCTTATTTTGATGGTGATCCTGCAAACGTAACTGATTTGGGTGGTGGCATTACTTTTTGCCGAGGATTTCATTCTAGTTTTCGCACAACCCATGGCGGCCTATTCTTAAACATGGGTATGGTTCTCTAATTTCCACTCCATCCTTTTTTTTGGTGATTAAGCTGTTTGCCTAATCCCATTGGTTCTCCACAGATGTTTCTAACACTATAATCTTGAAACCCGGTCCAGTTATTGACTTCTTAATTGCAAATCAAAACATTCGGAATGCTAAAGAGGTTAATTGGGCCAAGGTAGAAACCTTTATTCATTAGAGAATTTATTTGTTTAAGATACTTAAAAAACTAGTTTTCCTATCCATGATTAATCACTGGAGGATTGGTCATTGTATGTTATGATTATTGAATGCTTATATGCAGGCTAAGAGAACTCTGAAAAATATGAGAATCAAAACTATACATACTAATCTGGAATTCAAGATTATAGGGCTGACTCCACTTCCTTGCAGTCAACAAACGTATACATTCTCTAACTATATCTCCCATCTCCTTATCACTCTTAGTTTTACTATTTTGTTTTTCTTGGAAATTTCTTAACGTTTTACTTGTCAACTTATTGTCCATAGATTTGTATTGAGAGGTAAAATTGATGATGGAAAGGATCTTCCAGTAGAAGTGAATGTTTTCAATTATTTTAAAGAGAAGCGAATCGAACTGACATGGTCATCTTCTCTGCCTTGTCTTGTTGTTGGAAAGCCAAAGCGCCCCATTTACCTTCCTATAGAGGTTTGCATCATGTGACTTTTTTTTTTGTTATTCTTAAACTTATACGTGGACTCCCCTCCCCACCCCAAACAGGAAAAAGAAAAATGAAAAGGATTATCTTTCTTTCATAAGGGATATTAATTTTGCAGCTATGCAATCTCATATCATTACAAAGGTATACAAGGGCCATTTCTTCTCAATTGAGAGCAGCATTGGTTGAGAAGTCTAGACAGAAGCCCCAGGAACAAATAAAAGCTGTGACTAATGTGAGATTTTGTTATCTTGATGTTGTGTATTTGGTTCCTTAGGTTGGTGAAATACTATTATTTTTGTTTTTTTGCAGGCGTTTCAAAAAAATCAATATAATGATGAACCATTGATTTCGTCTTGTGGGATCACAATTGAGAAGCAGCTAGCCCAGATAGATGGTCGTATTCTTAATGCTCCAACAGTAAGCATGACTATTGTCTAAAATTTTCTGTCACAATCTTTTGTTTTTTACATATGCACTGCCACTTTTTTTACCCTCTATGATTTGAAGAATGATGAAGAAACTTGCTCTTGTTGCTTGAACAGCTTAAGATTGGTAATGAGGAAGACTGTTTTCCTAAGAATGGCCGTTGGAACTTCACTAACAAGGTTTGCGAAGCACGTCACTGGTTCTGCTATGCTTCCACATACCATCATAACTTGAGTTTCTTCTGCAGAAGTTATTGAAAGCAAAACAGATTGAAAGTTGGGCAATTGTAAATTTTTCCGCTCGATGTGATCTAAGTCACCTATCTCGTGAAATGATCAATTGTGCAAGGAAAAAAGGAATTGTAGGTTATGGTCTTGACCTGCTCTTCCCCCATCACTTTTTTCTCTGTTTTAAATCAATTTATGTACTATTTGGCTGCTTTGGGCAGATTATTAATCGCCCATTCACAATTATTGAGGAAAATCACCAATTTGTTCGAATGGAGCCTGCAGTTAGAGTTGAAAAAATGTTTGAAGAGGTTATAAAAAGGTTTCCTTGTCCTCCACAGCTTCTTCTGTGCGTTCTTCCTGAAAAAAAGAATTCTGCGATTTATGGTTTGTACCTTACATTTCGATTCCTTTGTATAGATTCTTCTAGTTAGTTGTTCTTTAACTTGGGTTAGTCTTCTATGCTGCCTTTTAGGACCATGGAAGAAAAAGAATCTGCATGAAATGGGTGTAGTTACTCAATGTGTTTCTCCTGCAAGGATCACTGAAAATTACTTGAATAATGTTATTTTGAAGATCAACACTAAGGTATTAATCATTTGTTATATGATAAAAACACAGTTTATCTTTAATACATTTTTTGTTATGGGTATATTTTCTTTTTTTTTCATAACATTGCTGTATAATCAATTCCTTTTGTTCTATAAGCTTGGTGGTATAAATTCTCTTCTTGCGGTTGAGGCAAATCCAAGTATTCCTTTAGTAACTGATGTTCCTACCATGATTGTGGGGATGGTCGTCTCTCATGGATCTCTAGGGCTGGCCGATCTCCCATCTGTCGCAGCAGTGAGTAACTTTCTTATAACACAGTAATAACAAAGGAAAATTTACATAGCTACTCTTATCTGCCATTTGGGTTCAAAACTTCTACCTTTTTTGTGAATCATCAGGCAGTTGGTTCTAGAAATTGGCCATTAATTTCCAGGTATAGCGCATCCGTGAGGACGCAGTCTGCAAAGATAGGAATGATAAACTCTTTATATAAGCCTTTATCAAATGGAGAGGACGATGGAATGATGAGGTTTTGTTTTCCATGCATTTCATGTATTTTTTACCTCTATTATGGTTTCTTTTGTTGCCATGAAAATTTACTTCAAGCTTAGTATATTAATGGACCCATAAACTCTGGTTAGAAAGCGGCCTAAAATTTGAGTTTAAAGATTGTGACCCAAGGCATATTTTGTATCTAATATGTCTTCCTATGCACAAGCATACTTGGTGAGGAAGTGTAGGCTAACCGACAATTACATGGAAACTGACACAATCATGGGTTATGTCTGTCAGGTCCCGATCTGAGAGGTTGGAGGTTAACAAGGCTATTAACAGTAATAATAGTCCACTAATGTTTAGCTATAAAAAAATCACTAATCCATACATCATAAGTAAATATCCTTTAATAAAATACATAAGATCATCCAACTTGAAACAATAATTTAAGTATTACAACTATAGTGATAAAACATGTAAACTAATTAATTTTCTACCTATTTTCAGTGGATCATCTCATCATGTAAACAAACTTTCTTCAATCAGTCATATTAGTCTAGTAAAATTTTTCCTGAAAGAATAGTAAAATAACATGTTAAGTTGATAACGATTTAGTAATAATTAACACTTTATTATGCATTGCATTATTATGCAAATGCCTAATATGAATGTTCAAAGGAATATGGCAATCAATTTATAAAGTGAACTTTATTTTTTTTCACGAAATATATTTAGTAAATCATCTCAATCAATTACATTTTTGTCCTATTAATCAATTACATTTTTTATTCTCATTTCTTTTAAGTAATCTTAAAAGCTTCATAAAAAATTTTTACTAATAAATATACAACCATTAACATTTTTAACCATTTTGTATTAATAAAAGTACAATTATTACCTTTTCATATTCCATTTGGTTCTAATTAAAGTATAATCATTACAATTTCTTTTACCTTTAATTTGAAAGAGTACAACAACGTCTCAGGCTAATATTATAAGGGGGTGATTCCTTTAGACTTTTCGAATATTAAATTCATTTCTACCATTATGTTAATTTATTTTTTATTTAATACATTGCAAAAGATGAAAGAATTGAAATCATAAGCTAGTCATTTCATTTTCACTTATATTCTTTTAATTATTGAAGTAGTTTTAATGAATACAAATAGATAGAACATTTCTAAAATAAAAGAAAATAAATTTAATGCAAAAATAATAATAATTACTTGCTTTGTTTTTATTTTATAAAATATTTTTTTCAAACCCTTTAACACGTGCCATCTTAAATTTTATTCCTGAAATTAATTTATAAAATAGACACCTATAACTTCAATTGAATTTAAACATTAACTTAGCTTAAATAGTTTTCTTAAATTGATTGATGCGGCCAACACTCCTTAATTTCAAATCCATATATTCCTCCACTTATGTCTGTGTTTTTAATTAAAATAAAATCTACATTAACACTTAAAATATGATACAATTATATATATATATATATATATATATATTGCAAAAGCCCGTACTCAATTTTATAAAATAAGAAAAGGGAGGACAACACATCGGGTTAAGAAAAATCCAGAGTAGGATCTTTCCATCGGTATACAACACAACCAAAAGCTCTAAAAAATTGTTACATGTATACCCAAAAAACAGATTAAAGAAAAAATCTTTAGCGAAATAAGAAGACAAGTACAAGGAGAGAAATGTAGTATAACAAAAGTTAAAATAATCATCTGAAAGAGGCTATTCCTTGGCAGGAGTAGCAGAATTGCAAAGAGATGAGGATTAATGGAGCAAAAGATCCTCCCCCAAAGCCAGAAACCGAAAACCTTTAGGGATGAAAGGAGACCGTAAGCCATATCATGGTGAACATTTGACATAAGGAAGATTCAAAGAGTCTCCCCTTAAAAGTATATTAAGCTCCTTGGGAGGCACCAAACAAGTAGAGACACCCAAAAAATCACGTTTCACAAATCAATCCGCTGGTGCATTTCCCTCCCTGTATATAAAATTCCATATGACCTGAAGCTCATGAGAAGCTATAAATTGCCAAATCTTATTAAGACAATTAATTAAATTCCAAGGAGGCTCTTGTATTCTAGTGATGAAATCCAGAAGAACAGATAAACCCGATTCAATAAAAATTGTAGACAAATTGAAAGCAACATTTAGATACTACCCAACCCTTTGCTTCAGTAGTAGTTAAAGCCCAAACATGAGAAGAAAATAAAAGAGACACTTGCCCAAATGATTTCTGAAAATGGACCCACACCGGCTGTGCAATTTTCTCAACTTCCATCAACATTAATTTTGATCCAACCGGGGGGAGGGGGTTGCAAATATATTAAAGATCGCCTCCAGCCCTCCTTAGGCAAAGATCTAGGTAGCAATCGTATCCGTTTAGAGGTCTTTGCATGGTAGGTAAGAATGTAAGAAATAGTGGAGAGAGGGGAAGAGGAAGAGAGCTCATGTTTCGCATTGTTTCGAGCACGCCAAATAAACCACAAAGTTATATAAGGATTGAGATGCATTGTTGTGTCTGATGAACCACAAGATGGCCAAGCAAATAAGCAATCTTCCATATTCTGCAAAGTAAAATTTTTCAAACCAAAAATCCTTCCCAAACTATGCCATATCTTTCTAGCAAAGGGACAAAAGAAATATAAATGTGGCGCACTTTCTTGGGAGCATTTACACAAACAACATTGTGAGGCCAACCACAGGCCTTTGAGTTTTAAGATGTCATCAAAAGACAACAACTGTAAAAAAATCCTCCATAAAAAAAACAAAAATAGATGGGGAGCGATATTTAGGCCAGATTTCAAGACCCCATTTACATTTATCAAAATAATGCAACTTATCGTAAATCATTTTAAAGATGGAGAGTTTTTGGCTTAATTTATAGTGAGGCATGTCTTTAACATTATTGCACATATGAATCATAGAGATTTGAGGGGTCACATTACCTAACAATTCACATAAAAGCGGCAAATTCCATCAGAAACCGATATATGATGATGAGAAGAGGTAATAGGACCCTATATCTAAATCTATTTGAGGAGCATAAGTGCTTATAATATTAAAAATCTTAGTATCAATGATAATCTTAAGGACTATAATTCTATCTTCAACTCTAATCTTTCAACTCTAATAATTTTTACAACATTATCTTTCAAACTCTTATCTATAATTACACTTACACCATTTCTAGTGCGACACCTATCGAAATACCAAAGTTTAAAATCTAAGTTATCAATCTCCTTAGCCTTTTCTTCAACTCATTTAGTTTCTTGAATACATATGATATTAATCTTTCTATGAATCATAATATCAACTAATTTCATTAATTTACCATTAATAGTACCTATATTCCAAGATGTTATCATAATATTAATTTTATTAGCTTTACGGACTAACTTTTTTATCCGCTTCCGTCCGTAATGTGGGAACCCTTACTTATTTGACACTATAGTATTCAAACTATATAGCACGTCGCTTCCAGGGAACGTTCTATCACTTACACAATGATCAAAACGATTCATGTCTTGTTTTTTTCGACAAGTTTTATATTGTCTGTCGACTATCTAACGCAACCCCCTATTTTTAACAGCGAACTTGGGACCGACAATGACAGTGTTTGTGATCGATCATATTCATACATTATCAAATGCTTTTATACTCATTTATTAGAAATTTAACTAACATGCACAGTCTTTTTTCTTATTGTATTATTAGTTTAGGCGTATGTATTCATTAGCTTTGGTTTGCTTACTGTTCTTTTAAACTAACATTTTAGGCTTAATTAGTTGATTAAAAGATGGACAATAGAAGAGACAATCTTTATAGAAGATGCAAACAACCCAACCTAAGATAAATTTATAATTGTTTTAATTCATTTTTGTAGCAGCTCTTTCTTTTACCTTTTTGAATCATTAATAGTGATAGAAAATGAAAAATAAAAAAAATGATTTTTATTGCTCAACCGTCTATTCCCACCTTAGTTAATTCAAAGTCCTATGCTGAGTTGTGGCAATATGTCTAGGCTGATAGCGTCATAAAGAAGTGTTTGATCTAAGTAAACACTCATCCTTTTGTCTAGGCTGCTAACCAACAACTATATATGGACATCAACGCAATCTGAGTTATAATTGTCACGACGCAACCCGAAAGTTTGGAGTTAACTAAGGCATGAGATGATGGTCAGACGTTGAAATTAATATTATCTAAATAGTTCTAAGAGTAATAATAGTCGACCATATTGTTCAACTATAAGAGTCATTAATCCATAAGATATAAGTAAATATCTTCTAACAAAATATATAAGATCATCCAGCTTGATACAATAATATAAGTATTATAATAAAAGTGACAAAACATGTAGATCAAACAATTTACTATATATTTTTCTATATTTTCTCTCATCTTGTAAATAAATTCTATTCTATCGATCATATCCGTCTAGTAAAATTTTCCTTAAAAAATAGTTTAATAATCTTAGTGAATAATTAACACTTTATTATGTACTAAATTTTTATGCAAACGCTAATATAAATGCTCAAAAAATATGCTCATCAATCTATAAAGCAGGCTTCATATTTTTTTTTCTATAAAAATATTTATTAAATTGTCTTAACCAATCACAATTTTATCCTCTTAATTAATTACATATTTCATTTCCTTTTCCCTCTAGTTAGGAGTATCTTCAATATTTGGTACTAATATGTACGATTATAATCAATTTTTTTTGTGTTTGGTTCCAATAAATGTACAATCATTATCATTTTTTCAATCTTTAATTTACACGAGTATAATATCAGCATCAGCTAGTATCATAAGGGAGTGACTTCTTATAGACTTAATATTAAAGTTTTTATTTTTAAATATTTAATTCCTTTCAATCATTATATTTATTTTTTTCATTAAATGCACTGTAAAAAATGAAATAATTTAAATTATAGAACAATCATTTCATTTTCGCTCATCTTTTTTCAATTATAATAGTGTGTTACTGATTACGAAATTTTCAATCTT